TTTCTTTCAAGGCCATTTCTTTTTAGAAAAAGGTTAACACTAATGTGGCTACTTGATACATTGGCCCAATGCCACCCACGCTACGATTTGTTATTTTGTCCACTTTTTGCATGTTTTCATACGAGAAATCAGGATAAAGAGAACGCAAAATGTTCTTTCATAAGTTTTTATTTGAGGGTACACTCTTCATAGTAGAATGGAATGACTCTACACAAAGGAAAGCTACTCATAGTTTTATACATGCTGGATTTGGTTTCATGGTAACTCTATGATATAGAGTTATTTGGATTATATTTTGATAGTAATTTAGCTTAGTTCTTGTGGTAATGCATAAAAATTAATGAATTTTATTTAAATTATTTTAAGTTAATTAATATAGGGTTGTCAATCTAATTTTAGTTAATTTTATATTTAATTTGGTGTTAATGTGATTAAGATTGGTTGTTATTGATTTAGTTGTGCTTTTGTAGGTGTTAATGAAGGAAGACTTCTAATGGAAGAAGGAGAGGTGCAGATTTCAACTGCACATATTTTGGTATTTCTATCATAACTCTCTCTACAGAGTTCTAAATAAAATGATTCTTGGCCCATTGGAAACATAAGAGAAAATTTTATAACTTTTATATTATCACTTCACCCAGTTTAGCTTGAAAAAAGGTCAAAATTATTGTTGAAGTAGAAGCACTATAGCAGTCCTAGAGCAACTATTATTTCTGCTAATTACTTGGTCGAAGCCACAGCCCACATAATTTGATATGAAAATCCTCGTTGGAACTGACACCTTTCTTCACTCAACTTGGTATTACTTCAAAGCCTTATAAAATTAACTTTTTAAAAGACTTTTAAAAAGAGAGAAGAAAACACTAGACTGATAGTTGAGAATCAAGCAGCGAAGTCATTGAAGCTGAAAAGAATTTGAAGAATTCAAGAAGATTTGGAATTTCAAGATTATAATTCTTGGGTTCTATCATCCTTTTGTTATTCTCTAATTTTCTTAGTTTGATCTAAATGTTTAAACCTTATGTGATTATGATGTGTAACTTGATGAAGAACTAATTTATTTATCTAAGATTATGATCGAACTCAATACATAGTCTGATTTATTTATCTCTCTTCTGATTATGTTTGATAGATTTAAGTTGTTTATTATATTCTATTCTTAATGCTTCTAATTGATTGGCCACTAATTAAATTGAATTGGAAACCTACATTAAACCTTAAACAAGGAGATTTAGCTAAACATTGAATAAAATAGCGTATGATCGAATGCACTTAGTTGATTAGGTGGTTTGATTTGCATATAAGGTAGACATACATCTATAAGCCATACGTAGCTAAAATTAAAATACGAACTTAATTTATCTTTCTTCAATTTAATTTACATAGACATATAGTAAATTAATTGAGAGAGATATTTTTATGAGAAACTTGACAGAGACTTGTAAATAATTTAAAACTCTAGATTATCAACTTAATCTATTAAACTGAGTTAAGAGAGAGACAATAATTAGATGAAATATTGAGGGGCATCATAATCTTAGGTCCAGTAGTCCCACGAATTTAATAAAATAAATTTGCTAATAAATTTTAAATTAGTTTTATTTTTAGTTTATTTGTTTATTAGTTTTAATTTCAATTGTTTAGATAAAATTAGCATATGTCAATTTTAGTACTTAACTATAGGAATTAAAATAATTCTCTGTGAAAACGATATTTTACCTTTTCGCTATATTACTTGTTAATGATACATGCACTTATATGAGAAATCAACAACATTTCGCTTAGTGCTAAAAGTTCCCAAATTATTCCTCACTATCATCCACATAGACTACTAAGGCACTCCAGCCCTCAACTATTATAGACTTCAAACAAATTAGGTTCAATCTAAATGGAAGTATTTTTCTAACTCATGCAAAGATTATCACCTCACAAGAACATAACTACTTAACTCTCCCTAATAAATGACAAAGCTCGAGTAAAAAGCTCATGTATGAATGTGAATGTGTCGTGTGTATGACAGAACACACTAAACTTAATCCTAGATATCGCACATTTATTAAAATATTAAATCGATAAATGATAATAAATAAATAACATTTAATTATAGAAAAGTGAATAAAATAATACTATTTAATATTAATAAAAATAAAACATAATCCATTAATTAAGATTTAGGATAACTGGCTAACTTAAAAGATATCGTAAATTATAAAGTTACCACATGTATAGGGAGAGAAAAGATTTAAAATTTGATTCATGCCACATCTAATAACATCTACAAAACCTATTATTTACTAATTTTTTTTAAAAACACTTATTATTTACTAAATAGACTACATTATAAGCCACAAAACTTTTTAAACACACGTAGTCAAACCGAAGATTAACCTAAATCTTCTCCTAAGCCTCTTCTTTTTGTTAAGCAAAGTCGTATTTACATAATTCATATTTTCCTCTTCTAACAATTTCAAAGAATTTTTTCATACATAAAATTTAACTATTAATTTATTATTAAAATAATATACTCTTATTTTTATATTAATATTTTCTAATTCAAATTTATTTTAAAATTAAAATTAAATAAAAATATATAATTTATTAATTATTATAATAATTTAATCAAGTTAAGCAGAGCTTGAGTCTAAGAATTCCATCCCTACTACAGTAATACCTTTAAAAAGAAAATATTGACGTAGAGTTATTTAATGCATTGGTTAGATTTCATATAATTGAGAGTGGTGTATGTGCATATGTATTCAAATAATTTCAACAAATTTTAATATTCAAGTAATATTAACATTTTTCTTCGTTTAATTGATATTTTGATTAAAAATTATGTTAAATTCTACCATTAAAAATAGTTGTTAATTAAATTTAATGTATTGATAGCTTGTCGATTTATATTTTGTATACTATTGATCTTGTCTTAATTTTGATATTAAATTCATAACTTTTATTCGTTGTCAATTAGAACCTTGATGAACTCTGCCTAATTAAATTTGGCAAACCTTAAAGAATAAATTATGAAGTGTAAATTATAAACCAAAAGCTGATAGCCATAAATTATCGAAATGCAACGAGTGGATATATTTTGTTGTTTGATTTGTTTCCTAGTCAGTTACAAGATGAATGACAATTATAAATATGTTGATTTGGATAGTAGTATCAGAGTGGTGAACAGTAATGGAGAAAGAAAACAGCAATCTGCACCACCATATATTATACCAAGAAAAATATAACTATTTATCCTCCTCTTGATTTATATATCTGCGACACTTGAATTGGAAGCAAGTTATTACTCTCAATTTCTGTTAAGCTAAAGTTTATTATGAAAAATATAAATTAAACATAATACAAGTCTTCATATTCATTGGTTTTCCTCGAGCTAAAAGAATAAGAGAATGTCGATCTTCGCACTAACAACCAAAGTTTGTCATTCCATTTGATTATCGATGATTAAATTTTGATATTGATAGCATTAAAGTCTTTATATTTTATTTTAAATTAAATAAATCTTATAATTAACGATAAACTAATTATTATTAGTCAAAATAACGCTTATTATTTTATATATATTTGGTGTTGACATAAAAAGTGAAAAAATTACATATTTTTGTTATCATCTATTATAACATATCAATATACGTCACTTTAATACCATATAACATAAAAATTTGATTGAATATAATAAAAAAAATAAAAACTTTTTTAAATTTTTTTAAATAATTTAAAAACTCTTTTTTGTATTATACTTTTATTTTATATTCTCAAAAAATTATTTCTTCCTTCAATTCTATTATAAGAACCAAACGTGGCGTTAAGTGAAAGATCACCTGCATTTGTCGTATTCGTTTGTTGTAGCGCTAAGCCTAAGCAATCGTAGTTAATAAGCAAAGATGGTAATTTGTTAAGCAGCTAACTAGACAGACAAAAGGGGAACAAGCTCAAGCTCAAGCTCAAGCTCAAGTCAGTAGGCTGCAGAAAAGAGCAGTCCACGTGATGGTGGAAACAGTAGGGTATGAAAATATGGAAAAGCATCCAGCATGCACAATCTCGATAAAGTTGTTTCAAGGGTAAGCTAGCAGAGGGAGAGGGAGAGGGAGAGGGAGAGGGATGTCACTTTGCTTTGCATAGGTATTGTTATCCTATTAGTAATGCGAAATGGGACACTGCTGTTCAAGAATTCACGTAAGAATTTAAGGACTTGTAAATTAAATTGACTTTCGCTTAGGAATTAGCAAGGTAAAAAGATAATATAAATAAAGGGAATATAAAATCAAAGCATGCACACGTGTTTTTGAGTGGTTTCTGCCTTTCTGGTGTGCATTAATGCCCCCCAAAATTAAGGAAACGTTCTCTTTTATCCTTTCAAGATGAATATGTATATTTCATAAGGTATATCATCACGTGGATGCCGCCGTGGATACAATGTCTATAAATGATTTTAAAATTACAAATATATCAACTTATATATATATATCAAGATTTATTGATTCTAGGAAATATATTTAGAGTGATTTCGTATTAAAATTCAAATATAAATAAATGATGAAAAATTCTTTTATATATAGACAGTAAAATATTTAAACTACACAAGTAGGTTACGTATGTTATTAATGCGCGTCCGTTAAATTATAAAATTAAAATAAAATCATTAAATTGACATAATTACTTGAATGCATTGGTATCAATTATCTAAATCCGTTTATAAAATTTAAAACTCTATTTGAATGTAGATGATTATTATTATCTAAATCAACATATCAAAAGTTGTTTAAAAAATGGATGTATTATGACAGGTTTTTCTTGTTATTTGGAAAAGCCTAAATTTTTAATTTCAAATTCTTTTAACATATTTTGCTTTAAAAAATTAGTGCATTTTCTTATTTTTCTTTTTTTTTTTTAACACTTTTTGGTTTTTATAAGTAGAAAATAGTCAGTAAAATAACAGTATAACAATGGTGAAGAGTCTAAATAAATAAATGAGTATTTGGTCAAAATAATCCAAAACCAAGCTTATGTTGAGCTACAACCTTCAAGATTACGTTGGAGCTGGGCCAGGAAGCCTCTATCCAAAGCAGACTAAATTTTATCACCTTGAGGGTGTTGGGCTAATAGTTGCCGGCAGTGCCATTGGGTTCAGTAAATTACAAAGATCAAAGTGTAATTACTTCACTTGGCATCCATGATGAGATAAACCGAAATTTGTTCAATCCTATATATGAGCTACAAATCCAATACTACTTGACAGATTTGTCTACACAAACAACAGTTCAAAGAACAAACCAACCACACCATGAAGTGACAGGACATTCTATGGTGGAAGCTCCGGAAAGCCGCCGTAAAATATACAAAACAGAAGCCAGACATAACAGCATTCATCAACTTCATAAACCTTTGGAGCCTGGAAGGTCAATCCACTGAAGTTGAATTTCTACTTCACCACACTCCACATTTCTCAATCTGAGGCAAATGTCTTGGACAACCTTCCCATCCTTCCAATAAATGGTGCTCTCTTCAGCCAGGCAGTTGTTCCTGCCTGGTTGCACCTTCGATATTATGGTTCCACTTGGGATTTCTCCCAAATTCATTTTCAAGGCTTCTATATATGTGCTGATGTCAAACTCTGCATCTCCCATTTTGTCATCCTTGCTAAACGTGTCATGGTCATACACAGTCTGGAATCATGCAGAAAAAGAAAAAAATGACTGTAAACAAACTAATACCAGAAAATGACCGCATACATCAAAATGCCACAATAACACATGATTATCACTGGAAAAGGGGGTAAAAAAGGAAAGGAGTGGCCAGTGTGTGGTTGAAATTATCAGTGAGTTTTCAACAATTTTATGAGTAGATGTGGCTTCACTCCAGGCAGGGATGGAGCCAGAATTTTGATTCAAAAGGGGGTAATACTCTTTAGGCTACAAGTTTGTTTTTATATTTTTTATTTATCTTTTAAAACAACTAAGTTACTCAACTAATTTCTTAGATTAAAACTGACGAATTTTTGAATAAATATTGAAACAATGTTAATATGTAAAAAGATCACAAATATGCAGTAACAAAGATGTTTATGAAAGTGAAAATTTAAAATAAGAATTTATATGTAAGGAAACCAAAAGGATTATAGAGAGAAAGGGAAAAAAAACCTGAAGCTAAACCATTTAAGCATAGAAGAAAGCAAAAAAGGATCACATTAACGAAGTTTAGTGGAAAAGGAAAGAAACTAAACTAAAGCAAATAGATCATGTAAGTGTACCGAACATTGACACCTATACATTTGCTTCATTAACACCAAAAACCTTCAGATCAAAAAGATATTTTGATACTGATAAACTAGTAAACGAATTCTCTGTCCCTCCATCTTGCACAACTGCTTTCTATCATTCATACGATATTTCACAAATAATTACTGATAAGAAATTCCTAAGCATTCCATTGGTTTTATTCTGTTTTCTTTCCAGCACAAAATGATTATTAGTAAGAATCTAAAAAATAAATGCAGAAACAAGAAAATAATAGGAAAAGATCTGGTTGAGAAGCGGCATGTATAAAGTAGCTTCTGTCATGGGTGGTTAGGATATCAAGCTGAAAAGCAGCAGTCAAATTTTTTTTTTTTAATTTTATGGATTTGGTGGTGGGGCGGGGTGGGTTTATTCAGGAGTGCTTATCAGTCACCGTATGCCAATTGTGATACAAGATTCAATATGATAAATAGAAATCCAATTTACACCAACCAAGAACATTCAAAAGTTTACCATCTGCCTTAATCATGGGTTTAATAAGTTAAACATTGATTTAAATCATCTTTGATTTACTACTGTTCTCTTTCTTTCTTTCTTTCTTTCTTTTTGTTCTTTAGGTGATGCTATGTCATCAGATCATGTACGCATTTCTTTTATGATTTGATCTTGCTTCCCTGCTTATCAGCAATGGGATAATAAACATCAGAAAATGAGCAATTAAGATAGAATTATAAAAGGATTTCAAATTTCAAACAAGTAATAGAATCAAAATCAACAGAACATGAGCTATCTCACAATTTAAAGATCAAGGATTAGCCTAGCAAGTAACGGAAAAGACAAAATATCTACATCATCAAAATCCTAATCACTTTCAGTCTAAACGTTTGCTTATACTTAGAGGTAACCAGCACCATTACACAATGGTGGAAATTTGATTCCCATTAAATGGGGAAGGTGGAAAACATGGGGTGGTCTTTACTTTGGAATGAATTGTCATTAGAAGCTGGGTGCCGAAACTTCTTCTGGCTTTCCACTTATGTACTACATTGATATAATAACTAGTAATTAAAAGACTTACCAGCTTGATTGGCAGACTAGGATCTGTTATGGAAAGAGTTAAATCCTCATTCCACTCAGGATTAACATCCTTCTTTATTACACGAGTCTTCAGTTTCTGCAAGAAATATTTACAATAGAAAAAGATAATGACCAAGTTGCTAAAAATTGACTCCACCAATAACTCGATGAAATTGAACTTAAAAATGTTTCCTTTCTTTTCTTTTCAATTTTTTTTTGTCATTTTTCAGTGAAATAATTCAAGTTCAAGCCATAAAATCTAAGTCAGATTGATGCAACACCTCCTTTCATTATTTATAAAAGGCAATTAGGGTATCGAACTGAACCAGGGCATCTCAATTATAAAATGCTAGATAAAAAAGAGTGAGTATCAAGGATAATCTTAATACCACATATAAGCTCACATAGTAAGATATACATAGTCGCCTTCACTCTAATTAGTAACATCAAAATTCTCTCATTTATTTCTAAAGTATTAATCAACAAAGCTTTTACTCATCTATCTCATTACTTTCTCAAGATTATGAGCGATTTTAGAGTTCTTCAAAGTGGAAGTCAACTCTGATAAAATAATACTCCGACAAAGATAAAATCTTTGAGATCCATCATTCAAAGGAACCTCTCCTTATTAATCAAATGATAGTCAGCCAAAGATGGGTATGTCTGATAGTTAGATTCTGCTTAACATTGTTCCTGTTTCGTTTTCTTTACATAAAGACATGGACTGGAATCTTGCCATACCAGACATTTCCAGTTGCTTTTGGATTCTCAAAAGAACCCAAAATTGCAATGTTTTGAGAGGTCAATTATATGCCATCTACCACAGAAGTATCATATCACTTGAATCAAAGTGACTGATCGTCATATAAATAAATAAAACATCTTTTCTTTAAAAGAAAAGTTGCATGCAAATTTGTTACTCATAGAACAAGCAGATCATTAGTAACGTGAAGACCATACTGATAAAAAAAAAACAGAAGAAATTCCCTGAAACCGAAATTGACAACAGAGGCGTGGCCAAGGTCAACAGAAGGAAAGGAGTGAAGGTGAAACTGACCTGTCTGCCCATCTTAACAACAACGTAGGGATCGCTGCTTCGGACATCACGAACGGCAAGGTTGACGCCTCGTTTGATGAGAATCCGCAGCAGACCCAACAAGTTGTCCATCAACGATGTGCTCCTCTGGTTTTGTGGCGTTATTGGAGACCCGGCCATTCGTCTTTTATCTCCCTCCCTATACCCCCAACAAAAAAGTTTCTCCTCTCTGTAAATATAAACAATAAATTAAATGTAGGGAATTTCTATTGACCATAACAGACAAAGAAGGTCTCAGGTTAAACTCATCTTTCCTGGGACCCACCGGATTTCTCTTCTTTGAAAGAAACTTCCTTTGCATGGATTCGCGGGGAGCTGGAAGCTTGGACGGGAGACGGTGGGGTCTTGAGAGGGGGATTGAGGGGTAATATCCGCGGAGGGGTGACCGGGAGACCCGGTCTCCGGTAGGGAAATAATTGGAGGGGAATTCTTCGTGGAATTTTGTGGAGGTTGACTGACGAAACACACTATGACGACGGCGTAAAAGACGCTTGGATTGTCTGGAAGCATATATGATGGCGTGGCGTCAAATTACTGGTTGTTGTCGTTGGACATCGTTATTGCACAATTTTTGAGATTTCTTGTTCAACTTTTCCATTTTTTTTAATTTTTAAATTTTCGCCACCTTTTCTTGGTTCAATGAAAGGATATTGGCATTGGGCGACGACTAACTTGTCATAAACTTCAATCAAAGAATTTCTTGTAAATTTTGCTACATTGACATTAACATTATGTTTAACGAGAGTGAAACAAAAAGGAAAACACTTTCTATTTTAGGATGGAAATAAGGAGAATGCAATTGTATTTATTTATTACGTAGAGAAAAATTTTTTTTTTTTATAAATTTAAAATTTTATTTTTTATTAATACGATTCGTGACATTCTAGTTCATCCACTTATACAACGTTAGAAAAAAGCATGTTGATGGGGGTCTATATCAACCTAGGTTGGTGTCCCACAATAATGAAAAGTTAAAGTAAATTTTAACACTGCTTA